CTTCACTCCCCTGTTGGTGGGCGGCCAGAGCCCTGCTGGAGCCTAGGACACAGAGGGCCAAGCAAGGCCTGGGCAGCAGCAGACAGAAGCGACAGGCGGGGACGGGGGCTGGCTCGAGATAGCCCAGGAAGGGCAAGGCCAGGAGGGCTTCCCGGAGGAGGCGACGCTCGCCTGAGGCTTATAAAATGAGAAGAGACAAGCACGGGGGCAGCGGGGTGGGGTAAGGAGAGCAGTGTGTGGGGGGGAAGAAAGCAGGGTGTGTGCATGATTGGAAGGGGAGCATGTGCGCACATGTATGTGAGCATGCATGCGTGTGTGTGTGCGTGCGTGCATGTGTGTGCGCGCTCTTTGGCCTCAGCTGTGGGGATGCACAACAGGAAGCTATGAGGAGACACTTGCGGGGTGATGATTCAGCCGAGTCTGCAGCTGGGAGCAGATGCTGGCTGGAGGGAAGCCTGGGGCAGTCAGTGGACCTTGGGGAGCCTGGCGGGGGGTGGGGACCTGGGAACAAAGTCCCTGGCTTGACCTCTCACCAGGGGCTGGTGGTCAGGTCAGGGCCATGGCCAGCCGCCTGGGCTTTGGCCTCTGGGGTGACAGCAAGTGTGGGGCTTTCAGTGGGGCAAGGAGGAGGCCAGGGAGCGAGGAGGACATGGTGTGCGGCCCAGGGCAGGCAGTTGCCAGCACAGCCTTTTGGGGCCTGGCCTGGGGCAGAGGGAAACCCAGCTGGTGCCTAAAGGTGTCCCGCCTCCCCACTGTGTGGTCTGTCCTGTGAATCGTAGGCCCCAGCTAAGAGCCGCCTCCTCCTGGAGGCCTCTCTGCTGGTGCCGTCTGTGAGTGACCCCCAGAGCCCTCGAGGTCTGTGGCTTCGGGACTGCGCAGATCCTCTGCTTCCTGGTACTGGTTCCAGAGGGGCTGTGTCCTATTTATCTGCTGCACTTAGTCTCCCAAAGCAGTCCCCCATGGCTGATGCCATATGGATGAATGAATTGATGGATGGATGCGTGAATGAATGACTGAATGGATGGGTGGATGAATGGAAGGATCGATGGATGAATGGATGAATGGATGAATGAATGGATGGATGGATGAATGAATGGATGGATGAGTCAAAGCTCAGGGTCTGGTCAAGGGTGGCATGCATGGAAACTCAGACTCAGAAAATAGCAACAGAATCAAAACTAATGGATCTGTACCCGGATCTACACTCAGCTGGGCTTCCTCCAGGTTGTACACTTCAAGGTAATTAGTTAGCTGATGAATGAATCCAATACATCATTGATGAACTTCTGTGACCCAGGCAGAGTTCTTGGCCATGGATAAGACAGACCAGGTGGGGCTGGTGAGATGGCTCAGTGGTCTAAAGCACCTACTTATAGTTAGAAAAAGCTTAGCAAAGCACAGGGACCGCGGTTC